ATTCCACATGAAGTATACATTTTGATGGCAAAAGTTATTCGCAAACGTTTAGAAAACAAACGAAACTGTATTTAAATGTAACTCACATTATAATAAGCCAAACATACACACACAGTATATTTAATATTGTAATAATATTAATGATTTTGTTGTGTATGTGTAGTAAACCTTCTGTTCCTATTTACACAAAATTGAAAGCCCGGAGCGATAAATGTATTGAAAATTGCAAACATAAAGAAATAATAATAATTTTGAAAGAATATTTTATAATACGATATTCTGCTGTACTGTTAGGTATTTGGCTAAATATTTTTGATATTTATTTTACATTTCTCTATTCTAATGATAATTGTGTGTTGAATGCAATTACGATTATAATATGTTTTATTTATTTTTTATTTTTTTATAATATCCCGATACGTACGAAATAAACCCGATATTTATTATTAACATAATACGAGTGCTTATTATTTAAAGAAAATAATAGTTTTCGCGTTGTTTGGGATTATTTGCTTAAATCCCTTAATGAGAGCGTAAAATACAAAACAAAATAAAAATCGTATTTCTTGTAATTATTGGCAATTTCTCAAAATTTTTAAAATATTTCTTTTTAAGTGCTTGAAATTGTATTCATATGAAAAACAAAGACAATAATAATTGTTTTCATTATATTAAAACACTATTGTGTTTGTATTAAAAGTATCTCATTATGTGATAGAAAGGGAAAAATGAGTTTAAAATAATTTTTGGCTTTAAATACAGTAGAAGTCAGACAAGAATTTCTAAGTTTTTATTTTTTGTGACTGAAATCCATATAAAAGAATTCATAACTATAAAATACACTAGTACAGTGAGTAATGTATTAGCTTTTTATTCAAATTTTTATATAAAAAGTAATAATCATTTAGAAAGAAATACTATATTTAGTAAACACTATCAGTTTTACTTTGAAAAATGTCTTTTTAATGTATTTAGAGATTTTTATTCTTGAAAAATCGCATTCAAAACTCAACAAATCATTAGAAAAATTACTCATTTTTAATGTCAAATTGAATGATAAGAGTGAGCGAAAAAATTTATATTAATTTTCAAGGATTTGTGCGACGATTGAAAAATATAAGCGAATATTACTTTCAAAATACACACAATATTTGTTTGTCAAACACAGTATAGTCTCGCTTAAAAAATTCCTACATACTATCAATTCATAAAATTCAAAACACATATAATGTGGTGAATCAGTGTATAAAATCAGACATAAATTAATGCTTAATTTTATTTAATTTACTTAAAAAAGCTATAGTGTATTCACAAAACACACATACTTTTCATAAGGAGTGTATTAAATGATTGATAAAAAATAAATGGACTGATAGGGGGAACGGAAGCCTCGCCAATACATAGGACGGCATATTCTGTAGTAATTGACGCGATATTATGGGAGACTATGCATTACAAGACAAATATTGATATTAAATATCATGGACAAAATTCATTTACTATCGGTAGGTATGGTTCACTCTATGGCACTTGAAATGTAGATATTTAGCTGAGAAAAAATCGGCTCGTTTTCAGTCAAGGCTGTAGTCAGCGTGTGATCAGATTTATTAATTTGAGTCCCTTTTCAGCAAACACTATAAAATTGTACTCAAAATGATATATAAAAAGAGAGAAACTTTTAAAGTCTTATTCTTTACTACTTTTTTCACTGTATTTGTGATTTTCATTAATAATAAGACTTCACTTTCTATTAGTGATGTGACTTAATGTATGTTTGACTTGAAAAAAGTATTTCTGTTTATTTAAAGAGAAAAAATAGTTTATTTAAACATTTAAGACGATATACGACCAGAAATAACATGTGATTTGTTGGCATTTCTTAAAATGAATGACTCTTTTTCACAATAAAAATCTCTAATAAGTTATAATCAAATAAATCATAATTTTATCAAATTATGTGAGAAATGAGCACAAAATGTAAGCTCAATGTAACAATAATAGTCAATACAATAGCTTATTATTTAACAAATAATTTCATATTAAGAAAAAATATGTGCTATCTTATTTGCTATACGATCATACAGTACAACAACAATGTATTAAATTTAATTAGGCTTACAAATTATATTTCACACACTAAACCCAATGATTTTTCAATCGCATTATTTTATGGTCACGGTATCCAAAAAGTTTACAATTTATGCAAACCATTTGCCAAAATATATTATATAGATATTAAAATTATTAAATGAAACTTAAAACAAACATAAAAGTAACATACGAAATACATTAATATTGATTACGTAAAAAATTTTATATATATTTTATATACTCATTAAATGGTATTCATTATATGAATACTAATTAATTAAGAGATATTTTCCATAAAAATCTTTTTCTCTTTCTTTCGATTTCACGTTATAATCGCTTAAAAATATTTTATACTTTCGTTGAATTTTAATTAGGCTTTCCAGTGAATAAAATATATATTTTTTGAGGACTGTATTAATTTGTGGCGAAATATTACTTAATATCGCCAAACATTTATAATGTACCTGATTTTCGCTGCTTAAGTAAATACTGTATATTATTCCGTATAATTAAGACATAAAAATTAATGAAAACTAAAATGTGAAGTTTTATTGTAATTTTATATTCAAATTAATGCAACGTTTTTTGCGGTATTAAAATCTCATGGATACACACAAACGACTGCATTATTCGGTTAAATAACTGATAAATATTAATATATTAGAAAACAAAAGCCACCACTAATTAGTTGTTAATGTTTTTAGTGTAGTGTATGTTTTGCTTTTGCCAAATGATAGGCTATAGTTTGACAAATGTTTGGAAATCAATTAGTGGTTAAGAGATTTCTCAACAGATTTAACGTTAAAGTGTTTGGCGTGTCAGCCCTCTCCGGCTGCCCTCCCGTTTGGTCAGTCAGTGGGAGTCAGAGATTAGGCGATTGTCAATGTATTGAGTGCTACGAGGGATAGGGATGAGACATTATGGAGTTTAAGACTGTGGGCGCCCATAGTCTCTCAGCTCGTCTCCATTCCACTCATAGTTTCTTGTAATAAATACAGACAAATATTTGTCGACTAAAATGTATTCATTATACATGTTTGGGAAAAAGTCTAAAAGGTTTAGAGAATTAAACATTAAATTACATATAAATCAAGACACAGACACTACTTATGAGAGAATATTCTCTCCGCGAATAAATCAGATATAAGTTTCAAATTACAGAAATGCCATTGAATTATATGATAGCTTTCAGAAAAAGCGATATAAATCTCAATAAAACAAATAGTTTTACTTAAAATTTTTAGGGAAGTGTTTGAATATTTCGATTTTTAGATGTGAATATTTTCTAATTAATAATAAAAATGATTGATTTTACCATAAATTGTATGGGAATGAGAATTAAAGCAAATTATAATAATTAGCTTAAAAAGAGTCGAGAGAGAGAGAGAGAGAGACTATTATATAATTACGTAAATATAAATGATATGTAAAGGCGGACTGACAGACAGACTCCCATTTCCGCCCTTTCCTTTTCCCTTTTTTGTACTCTCAATGTTATCGTATGTTTTTCCGACAAATCTAATATTGAAAGGCATTTGTTTTTCTATGAATGCATTTCTATTCAATGTATCGACTTTTTCAACCATTCAAATTATGTCCAACAAACACACCATGTTTGTGGGCACCAAAGTTATTCATATAGAAAAGGATAAAGGTATTTTAGGTATTTTTCATGAATATTGCTCTAAAGTGTTGTCTACTGTATTGGGGTTTTAAGTCAAAAAGCCTTAAGAATTGTGGGATATTTTGCGGTGATTTATGGCCTGAATATAGCGAACCCCCGGCGCGCGCATCACTGCTTACATAAACAACCGATTATTTGCATACATTTTGATACAAATAATAATATTAATAGCAATTGCCATTTACTGTACCAAATACTGCTCATCAATACAGTGGATATTTAGCGCAAAACAGCAAAAGACTATATGATAGGCGAGTGAAAACATATAACACAACGAATCGATTGTTTGAATAAATAGAGAGACAGTGGAGAAGACATACATAAGAATCTTATGTTAAATAAAGACATTTAAGGTTTACTTACATTATGTAGTTTATAGTAAAGACCACATGCATTGCATACGGGCTCTCCGTTATGGTTACGGCGCCATAGGGTCGTAGTGGTTGTCTTGCAATTGGCACAACTGGTCCCAGCGCGACGAGCAGCAGACTATACATCCCATACCACAAAACCAGATCAACAGCCAGTCCATTGGTGGCGGATAGGGAGCCGGCAATGGTGCAGACAATCGGCATACCAATGGCAATGAGATTGTGAGTGAATGCGGGGATAGCATTGGGAAACGAGCGTAAGATATAGACAAGAATTAGTCAAATATTTAAATGTTTGAATATTTGTGTAGTTTTTAAGTGCAAATCATTATCGCTAATTTGTTTTCTAACCCCCGAAACAAACAAAATGTTTGTATGTTTTGTGTCTTAAATGCGATATGTTTCAAGTAATTGACTCGTAATTTATCTTATTTTTCGGTGTTTTTAAAATATATAAAATATTTTTTGTTGTGTTTCACTGATATTCCTATCACTCATTGGGAATGAGTTTGAATTACACACAAACTTGTCATCAAATAGTGCTCTCTCTCTCTCTCTCTCTCTCTCTCTCTCTCTCGTCGGTGTAATTGCAATCAATTTTGGGATAAAATTCTTTACTCATAAATTAAAAGCAAAAATATGTAAATCGTATGAATTGGAGAGCAAAAACTATATGAAAATAATAGAAAGATTTTTTCGTATTAAATATAATATGGTTTCCATGAAAACAGTGGGCAATTAATATGACAAACGGCCCAAAACCAGGATATGAGTGACTGAGTGGCCGTTACTACGAGTTTGTGTGTCGACGGAGACTGTACGCTAACAATCGATACATACAACTATGGTATGGACTATGGGGCTGGTAGTATGTGTGTAGTGGATAGGGCTATAACGCCGTTTCGGAGGCCGTGTTGAGTACTCACGATCAGCACATTTGTTATATCATCTCAGGTGCAGAAAAGTGCAGAAAAATTAGCTCCAAAACAGACTCCACTAAAGAGACTCACGAATCGGTCGGCCGATCCGTCCAGTCCTCTCAGCCCTACACTTCAACACACATAACATATATATATACAACACATTCCTCTCGGAGTCTCTGTTTTCTTGGTTTTGTTTTGTGTTTGAAATCAGAAGAAAAATAATAATAAGAAGATTAACACGTTTTTTGGTCTAAATGAGTCTCATCTTTGATTAGGTTTTTGTATCCTCTGTGGGGCTGTTATGTAGTCGAGCCCTAACCCAAAATAAAGTGCTGGTGTTGTAGGGCGTGCCTTCCGGCCATTATTCACTCGCTATTTGCAAGTATATCTCAAAAAGCCGGGGTATTTCTCGCTACACTTGACTTAATGGCAATTAGTATATATAGAGATCGCCTTTTCATACATACCCCACCCTATCGGTCAATGCTATTAACGCAATGTTATCTAATGTAATGGCAAATGTATGTAAAAATGTGTAGTATAGATTAGTTTTATGAATGTACAGGTATAATATTTCGCATTTTATAACCCATATATTCAAAGTTTAATTTAAATATTTTTGTTAAAATTAAATTTTTCTTTCAAAAAGCCAAATATCAGGTTAAATATCAAAACTGAAGACTAGGTTAGGAAAGCGAGCATTTGGTAAGACATAAATCATAAGCTTATCAAAAGTTGTTAAAAACTTTTTTGGGTACGAAATGTAATCATTTTTCACATAAAAATCTACGGTTTACTTAGCATTTATTGAATTTCATTAAGTGAAGTTTGTTTGAAAAAATATTTCAATCACATCTCAATAATAGAGAGTTAGATAACAAAAATTCAAATATTGTTTTCATTAAACTCTAGACTGTGTTTAAGGGACAGTAAGTGTTGTAATATAATCGGTAGCGATATATACACTTTTGGGTGAAATATACTGATTATGTGTATTGAATATGCAATCATACAAATGTCTCTCTCTCTCTCTCTCTCGTACGCTCACTCACTCACTAATTTGGTTTAAAGGCATTTGGCATTAAATACTGGTTTGAAAGTCATTATATATAAAGACATATTTTTGTGTTTAATCTTTTTGGGTAAAAAATTGAAACTTTTAAAAGTATTTATCTCTGTATTAAAGCACATAAACATCGCATATAAGGAAAAAGAGGAACTCATATGCAATCATAAAACAAAAATGTTTTCAATATTTTCGTTGAATCTCTTTTTTATGTTGAGAATTAAAGCTATGAAAACCACTTTTTATACACTAAAGGCATCGGGATATATATACTATGCCTGTGAGTACAGAATCCGAGGGTTATAAATCGAAATCAAATAAAATTTGCATTAATTTTCCACAAAAAAGTAAAACTTTTTATCAATTTTAAGCGTAAAATCATTAATTTTTGCATAGACTAAAAAGTATGAAAAAATATATATACCGGTGCGACACCTTAGGGGGTGTCATAATTGGTCAAATAAATGGCTTTAAGGCTAATTCACACTCAATATTGCCGATACTTAATGTGAAATACTTGTTATAATAGTGAAACACAAATTCAATACTAGTCTGACTTAAGGATTAATATTAATGCGATTTAGGACGTGATTAGAGATAAAATACATATAAATTATTATTCATTAATGGATGGCAATAAAAGTGTTGTGTTTTATGATACCTATAATTATCTATCAATAAGTGGTGTTCCCCTCTAATGAGTGTCTAAATGATAAACAATACGTACGAGTCGTCTCTTAGGTTTGATGAGCGGCCGATTCTGGCCGTTCATCTTATGGTAGAGTCCGCACGCGTTGCATAAGTAGTGTCCGGTGCCATCCCTGCGCCATAAGGGCGTTGAGGTCGCGCCACAGTTGACACACTCTCGACCCTCTTTGGTGTTGAAGAGCCACAGAAGTTGTGTTTAAGGCAATGGAGTGGAGGGTTAGGTGGGAAGTGGACGATGGTGTGAGGAATGGGAGAAAAAATAATAAGATTATGATTACATTTCTAGTACTAATAAAATAGTAGTTAAAATCATGTGTAATGCTCTAAATTATATGGTGTGATTGGAGGGCTGGTATGTGTGTGTGTGTGTGGATGTGTTGTTGATTTATTAAATCATACTATTATTCCGCACTTCTCTCTGTAAACTACACACGATTTGTTTGGGTATAACTTTGTGTGTGTTTTTTATTTTAGTGTACCATTAATGCCATAATTCATACGCTATAAATAATCTGATTTATATTAATATCTGAGTTGTGGGATCACCAAGTAAGTGTATGTGCGCTTGTAACTGACCCCTTATCTATTCATAACTGCCAGTATTAATCTGGTGTTTAAATCAATAATTGTGTGCGATACAATATATCACTAGCTATTTAAATTGTCTTAACCTTAGCTATTAATGGTTATCAAAATTGGTCTAATTTTGTTAATTTCTGATACAGTATTTTTCATACGAGACTAGATGAGTATCAGCCGTGAACATTACTGGCTGTCCCTACACTTATAGTTTTCTCTAAAAAGATAATTTTAGTGTACAAATTGGTTCATAAAATAAAGTTTATACTCTTTTTTTGCTCTGATATTACAATACAATTACATGTGTTATGTTTGCGTTTGTAATAAATGTATGAAATGAATGAATAGTTATTAGAAAATGCTTATCGCGTATAATCAGAGCAACTCGCAGGGTGATTATATGTGTTATATATATATATTAAATATATATTTGTATAAAACTAAATAAATAAATAGTAATAATAATGATTTTAAAGGTATTAGTTATAAAAGGTTAGGTAAGGGGGATATAAAATGTTAAATGCATAGCACATCGTAATTATGATTAGCTCTATCGTCATAACGTTAGCACCAAATCCATGTGTTATTATATTAATAGCGATTTGTTATATGAAAAAGTTATTATTTTATTAGCATTAGTGAGTGTTAAGGTACAGAATAAATATTATGTTAAATGCTGCCAATACTATGAAGATTTAGGATATAAAACGAGTAACGGATATCAATATGAAAAAAATTTCAATGTCTGTAATAATGAAATTTCCTAAAAGTTATAGCTATGGAAAAGTATTTTGAAATATTGCTCATTATATTCAAGTAAATAATTCTCATGTGATTTTTACGTTCAAATTCACTGGTTGTTCAAGTGATGACCGAAATTGAATGTAAATTATTTTGGAGTTTTTTATGCACAGAAAAAAGTATAGAAAATCATTATTTCTTTTTGCTTGAAATAAATTTATTTAATTTTTCTACTGATTTAGTTTTAGTTAAAAATTGAAAGATTTGTTTCGTTTTTTTCTACACTACACTCCAATATTATATAGCGAAATATATATATATATAATTTGGTTTAAATATTTTTTTGAGTACACTATACAACAAAGTTATAGTGAAATGGGGTTAAGAGACACAGAAGTGTTATCTCATAAATTCTCAAATGATAAATAGTATGAGACTTGAGTGGAATTGTGTATTAGATATGGGGTTTTGTGGACTCTGGGTATCAATTTTTATTATATATAAATTTTATATTATATAAATTTCGTGTTTGAGTTTATATATCACTTGATATGACTTTTATTTGGGGCTCAAAATCACTATCCGAAGGGAATCGCTATTAAATTGAAATCAAAGCACAGTTGGAATTAATATTAGTTTGATTTTTAACTGTTAAATGTATATCTCTTTTTCAAGTAGTATTAGTCGTGGAGTTAGTCATAAATATCTTAAGTGTATTTCCAGATCATTATTCTCATCATTAGTGTTAAGACCAGAGATTCAAATGACATAATAATCTGATTATTAGTAATTAGCCCTAAAATAAGACGGTTAGCGTAAAAACAAAGTTAGCGGTGAGTGTGAGACGGTCTGTGCCGTGGAAGTAGAGGTTAGATAGTGAGTGAGTGTGTGATCTGTCGGCGCTTACCGGCGCTGGACCTTCCCTTAGTCCGGTGCTTGTTGGCCGAGGAGGTGGACATGGATTTGGCGCTAAGCAATGACGACGAGCTGTGGTGGGAGTGGTGGGCAAAACCATACGGAGAGCTAGCGCTTAGGTCGCCGACAGTGGCGGCGGTCGGCGGGTGTCCGGCGCCGGCACCGGCGCCGACATAGTGTGCGGGATAGTAGGGACTGAGTGACGACGAGTGGTACGCCGTGTGCGGGCTCTGCGCGAAGCTATTAGATGCCGAGGAGGCTGTCGGAGCACCGGTACCTTCACGGGGTTTGCTGCTCGAGCAGTTGCTGAGGGCGGAGCCCAGGCTTGTGATCATATTGTGATGGGAGGCGGCGTTCACGTAATACGGCTTCATCTCGGATATGGCGCCGGCCGCGGAGGACATGGTGTCCGAGCCCACGGAGCTGCACGCTATGGCCTGAGTGGAGCTACTGCTGCTGCCGCTGCCGAAGTCGTTGCCCAACGGGCCGCCACCCCCACCACCATTGGCCTGACCGTTGGCCTGGGAGGTGGACGCCGAACCCCCGCCCCCGCCGGACACGTTGTCGGGTGTGGCGTCTTTGGGAGGCGTCGGAGGGAAGCTAAACAGGTGCGGACTAGAGTGGGAGGGGCCGGTAGGTGGCGCGTGCGCTACGGCCATGCCTGGGGGGCTGGCGTGCGGCGGATGCGACGACGACGAGGACATCGCGGGTCCCTTTCCCGCGGAGCCAAACGGCGAGCACCACGACGGGGCTGGAGGGTGATGGTGGCCGTGGGCCGGGTGAGGCACCATCGGTGGCTTGCCGTCGCCGGTGGCCGAGATCCACGGGTGCAGCGGACTGTGAAAGTGCGGTCGACATACCTGTCCGCCCGCCGTCACGCGAGCTGTCAGTGCATAAGGATGTGAATAATTCATGAGATTTTGGGTCTTGTTGTCTATGCCGAGCGTAAATTGGTTTGAATAAAGTTTTTGACAATTTTATTAATCGTATTATAAATAGTGTTTTTAATTTGAGTTTTGGTTTTTTGGTTAATTGAAAAAATTATTTTTTGTTTTTTGTGTAGCTTTTTGGAGTTTATTTATTGCTTCGCTTATCGATTGACTTATATTTAAATATTTATTATAGAGTTTTATTGTTTTTATTGTCATTTACCGATAAATTATGTGCGAATTAAATGTTTGGCAAATATTAATTTATTAGCAAATTGGTTTATTTATAACGGCGTTTAGTTTATTGATTTCCTACTCATTTACGGGCTAAATGTATTAATCAATAGTTTTTTTATAGTTTTAGTTATCAATTATTTAAATTTAATTTATATTTACTTATTGCCTCGACTATAAATACCATATATAATATATTATAGTTAGCGTAGCACTCGGAGTTAAATCATGAAAAATATTTATGAATTATGTTTGAGTTTATGATCTTTCGCTCATTTATTACCGATATTTAAGCCCAAAAAGAGTCAAACAATTTTCATAATATCTTTTCGTTTTTTTCTTGTGTACACTAAAACGAAATTTACATTTAATTGAGTTGGTATAACTTCTCAAACTTTTCTGATCACTTGTATAGATAGCCTTAAGGGCACTGGTGTTTAACGTATACGTACAACACTTGCATAGTATACCAGTGCATACTCATGAAGATCGCGAACAATGATCCCTCCTTCCCATCAAAAGTGGCAAAAATGACTTAAATATTATATAACAACACAAGTCTTACATTTGTTGTAAGATATTATGTATAATATTTATTGAGTATAAGTGAAAATTAGTGTTTGAGATATTGAACGAAAAAATACTTAATTTTCTATTAACAGACCTCTCGAGTCAATGGCGAGAGAGAGAGAGAGAGACTATGAATAGGTATATTTAGTATAAAAACTTCAAATATAAATATCAAAGAGACAGAGAGATAAAAATAATTATTTTTAAATACATATTAATAAATTAGCGCACATTTAGCTCACATTTATTTATTTACATTTAATATAATTTACATCTTTCTCTCTCTCTCTCACAGTCATATAAAAATAATTAAATTTTATTTTATATTTTAAACTCCGATTTCTCGTCTGAATAGCGTTTTGTGGTTCGGAGAGAGAAAAATCGGTTTTTTGCAGTAATTTTATATGAGTTTAATCTGTTTTGGTGTCAAAGCATAAGTCAAGTTCCTTATGATTATGTGAAATGCATTTCTCATGCGATAGCAAAATGAGTAGTTTTTAGGTTAAAAATGTTGCAAAAAAAGTTTTTTCGTTACTGACTCGAAATGAAAAATTAATACTCGTTTTGAGAAAACATATGAACAGCAAAACTTAAGTAATATATATATATATAAGGGATGATAGGGAAAGAAAATGCAGCGAAAAATATATATGGGTATCACTTGTATAGCGAGACACAGTGTGTTGTGTATCGGCGTGTGGCCCATATTTAAGCGTTAGTAGTGGTGGGCACTGGCATCCAGTCCCACTAGAATGGCACTCAGAATATCCTTTTACTTTAAAAAGAAAATGTTTACACTATTTATGTCTTTTACTCGTATTTCTCTCTCTCTCTCTCTCTCTCTCTCTCTCTCTCTCTCTCGCGTCTGCAATTGAACCGTAAAATTGTAAAAATGAAAAATTTCTACAAAAAAAACGGTTCAAACGTTTTGCGCTTTTTATGCAAAACTACAGAATATTTGGGATTGTATTCTGGAGTTTGGATACTAAAGTGGATTTGAATTTGAAAACCAATGGTTAGAAATTGTCAGACCATTCAAGTCTCATTCACGGCAAACACTTTTCCAATACAGTAGTTAGCAATTTGGATTACCCTGATCACTGTGCGCTATGCCGTATTGGGCTAACACTAAGCCATAGCCGCGAGCCTTGACTCGTACTCTGCGTGTGATTTACCTACTCTTCCACATGAGAGAGAGAGAGAGAGCTATGTAGAGGGAAAGGAGAGCACAGGGATCTGGTTTTTGGCATTTTCAACTGAGTTTGACAGTTGGGTTGTTTGGTCTCTTAACTCTATTTGGTGTTTAAATAGATTGCATTTTGGCGTTTGAATTATGATTTCAATTCTCCCAAATTAGCACAATTGCACTCATATTATACATACATTGCATATATTCATGGGCTTTTTAAAGGCTATACAACAATATATACTGTATAATACTGTGTACTCATGTATAACATAATATGGAAAATATTTGCTGCGAAACACTAAAAATCTGTTTTATTTTTGGTGTTGGAAAACGTATATAAAAATGAGTGACTCTTTTCTCTCTCGAAGTAAAAGTACATAAACACAACTCAATGTCAAAAAATTTTGCTCATTTAATATTATACATGGGCTTTTTACAATTCGCTATTTTCGTTATATTATTATGGGTTTTAAATCTTATGGTTTTATATATACGCTGTTAGTATTTTCAAACACTCATACTATATGAGATACAATCAACTTCTGGTGTTTTTTATACGACTCGGTGTTTCCCATCCGTATCTATAGTTAGATATCTAATCATATATGAGATTCTTTAGAGAATTATTGCCAGCGATAAGAATATTTTGCTCATAAAAACGCTTGTTTTGTTTCAAATGTCTTAAGCCCTTACTGTATGGGTAATATGTAATGCAATTTAATAAATGCCCAGCATCATAAATAGAGTACATAATACATTAGATAAATCAGCGTTTGATTTGATTAAAGCAGAGGTACAGTGTATTTAAACACAATAAATAATAAAAGGTTAATCTGAATAGTTGTATGTTGTGTTTGATGGCCAATAATGAGTACGTTTAGTGGTCTGACACAAACATATAACAAAACAAACAGCCATTCACTCAAAATGTTGAGCGCCTATGGCTTTGGGAGAGAGCGATGGGGCCTTAAAAAGAGAGCTCATCTATATTTAATCATTGACCGCACCAGTAGATCATTACAGAGGGGACTGGTGTTATATTTAATTTATGGTTGTCAGTCATAGGGAAACAGTGCCCGGGCCTGGCGTTTGATGGACGTTAAATGGCAAACGTTATGCGGCCAGCCATTCACTCCTCCATATAACACACCGGTGCAAAGGGCTGGCCATCTCAAGGCACATGCCATGATAAACAATATGGCACTAAAGCAAACATAATAGCCATCAAAATGCAAACAACTCATACAAATATATATACAAGTGATTTGATGGCCAAATACATGTGCCCGACGTACGCCCAGATACACACCATAGCCTTTATAATAGTTATTATTATTTCTCAGTCTCTTGTCTTGTCTTTAGTTTTTAAATATGAAAAAACTTTTTTAACTTTTTTCTCAGTTGTGTTCTGTAAGTCTCTCCGGGATTTCAATGTCTTTACATCTTATGATTATTACTTAATATATTGAATCTAATCTTTGATTATTATTCAACACAATATAAGTAATATATAAAAAATAAACATGTTTGATTCTTATTATTCATTTTTCATTTTGATTACATATACTTTTATGTATGCTTTGAATGCAAATCAAACACAAATATAAACACTCAATTATGATTTGATTTTTTGCTGAATGCAAACTAATGATCAAAATAATAACGACTTAATAATGTATTAAGAAATCTAATCCTATAGCCATTACATGATATAACAGACAATTTGACTCTTTTCTCGCATACTATTTATATTAATATACATTATGCTCGCATCGAGTGCCGGAGTGAGATCCCTGTGCTGTCAGAGTGTCGGTGCGCTGTCAGAGTCTCGGAGCTAATTTTGTATGTCTTGGCACACAAGTAGTACAACACCGAGTGGTGTATTAAAAAATATATATACATTGAAACACAACAGTATGTATTCCCCTATTAAATCAAATGCGATACAACCGGGAGATAAGCCACGGGCTCGCAGTCTTTAATGTCAATCTCAACCGTCACTTCCAACTGATCTCTGCATTTGTTATCAACTATTTTTGTTTTTTTTCGCTGCAAATACATGTGCGCCGCATGAGCGCCTACTATATACCACTATCTCGTCTATACCACTTTATAAATACATATTACATAAGAGGGTTAAACACTAGTATAACTATTCACGTAATCATTATCAATGAGAGAAACCTATGGCTAACCGACAAAAATCAACAAAAAAATTTATAGTAATATATTTGCCAAACATTTACACACATCGTAGCGAAACGATAAACAAATAGCGGCCAATCACCAGTGGATTAGCACAAAAAGGCTATATATATAAGAAAGACCCCCAAAAAAAACTCAGGTGTCGTGTATGTGTGTGAGGCATACCGTGCGGTGAGGAGCGGTAGCTGTGGTGTACGGCCGCCCGGGCGGCTGCCGCGGCTGCTGGGCTCGCGTAATAAGAGGCGGGATTCACGTGCTGTCCGGTGCCGTCGCTCATGGAGTGGAAGAACATGTCCATGTCATCAGGCACAATCATGTTTCCGGCGCCCTCCATACCGCGGGGGCCACCGGCGGCCGCCTCGGCGTACCACCGGTGCGCTGCCGCGGCCGCTGCCGGTGAGCCCGACTGGGGGTCACTGTTGGGGTTATGCATAGAGGGAAATGGATGTACAGCTGATTATATATATATAGTCCACAACACGATATTATGAGATGATATCAAGTTTTTTAGTCCACTTTTTTTGTTGTGACGCAAACTCTAGTGATGATGAGGTTGTGTTGCGGCGATAAACTTAGCGTAGAGATGATGATGATCCGGGTGAGTAGTTATAGATCTGGATTCAATTATGGTGATCGTATCGATTAGTTGTACTTTTTTTTATATTTGTTGCTTTTGATAACGTTGTCTATCAGTAGACTATCTCAATGAATACATTGTGCACTCATTTTGCGGTTCAGCAAAAAACATATCGCAATCTCTAATGAGTACGACTACTACTGATAGCCGAGAGACACACGCGTAATGCAAACGGTATACTCGTATTATACACACAAATCATTCTTCAGTCTCTCTCCAGTCATAGACTAAGCACTGATGGCTCGATGTTTGGGTACGCGATGTGTATGTGAAGCACGAGAAGGCTTCCCATAAAACGCTTCGGTCGTCGCCTCTCTATCTATTTGCTACCAGTGCTCACACCCACACACTTATACTGCCAGCGCCAGCAGCCAATCGTCGGTGCTTATGGTGACGCCCAGTCCCTCCCAATAGCACTCCGGGCCAATCGCGAGCCAATTGGCAGCAGTAGTGGCGCCTACGGGTGACAGTTGGCTACACTAACAGCACATGGAGCTTATGTATTGCCACTTACCGATATTATACTGTAATGGTTAAGCTAGCACACTGTCTGTCAATGTACCAAGATGCTTTGTGGCTTTACCTATTGTCATAGACAAGTAATGGACATTAGCTTTTTTGAATATTAAGAAAAAATAAAAGTTAATTTTTATTTAATTATTTATTCGCTCAACCATTAATATAATAATAATTACAATGATTATCAATAATAATAGTGCAATAATAACATACAGTTCCCTCCCAACAAATTGTCAATGAATTTCACTCTTAGACAATGTTTTTTCAACTCAATTGTCAATACATTTTTGAACATTACTTTCAGTTTCGCACGCATTCCGTGTCTGCAATGCATTGCCTTTTTGTTACACAAAATATTTGTTTAAATAATTTTTTTTGTATATAAACAGTATATTCTGTGTGTAATTTCATTTAATAGCATAATTCTAACCGTAAATATTGTGTATGAAAATCATTGAACGACAAAACTTAAACGCATACAATATATATAATAGGGTGGCTTTAATAGTATACTAGTAATGAGTGAGAGCAAGGTCCACTACTACTATACATTGATTGAGTTTTGAGAGGATGTTAGATAAGACTTTCACTATACCGACCTAACCCACCAAATAAGTCATTAATCAATTTTTATATGCCTTTTCATTATGATTTCGGTGCCTATTTTGCTATGCATTTGAAGACTTTTTTGTTTGATACACACATATAAATGCAAAGTCGGCGATGAGTTTAACAGTATATTAATATTAACTCCGGTGCCACTCAATATGTATGCAAAGTATAGCTAAACATAAAAAATATTAAATATAATTTTGGCGTTTACGTTTTGTTAGTGTTTTTTGCATACATTTTGCTCATCGATCGCAATTTCATTCGTCAAAATTCAATTCATATGTAGTTTTATTGCTTTTTCAATGCTTTACCCCTTTTTTTGCTCTGTCTGTTAATTAATCTATATTTAGGTTTACATCACATTTTTGATGTTTTATTTTAATTAACTATTTTTCTGTTAGTTTTTATGCTTTTTTCGCAACTCTATTCCAGCGTATGTATAAATATACATAATTTGATTATAAACCATAACTCAATGCCTGTGCCATTAAATTGACACAAAAGTTATTATTAATTAATTTTTCGATATAAATATTAATTTTATGCGCTATTCGTCTGACGGTTTTATCTTATTTTTATTATTTTGTTATAATGTGTATAAAAAAATTTTAGTGTTGTATTCACTAAAAATCCAATTTTCTCTCACTTCTCACTCACTCGTCATTACAAATAGTTTGTAATATACGGTTAGAATTTGTTGTTAAGACCTGCTCTCTCTCTCTCTCTCTCTCTATTTTTGAACAGAGAAGAGATGTTGGGATCGATATAGTAGTAAAGCACACAATAAGTGTCAGATATTCATCATAAGAAATAACTGATTCGCACACAATCTCCGAGAGAGAGAGAGAGAGAGAGAGAGAGAGAGAGAATTCTTGAGAGGAAAATAAGCATATTTTCATCTCATTATATCTTTAATACGTAATCATTTCTGACATAATGTATCGTATAATAGATTTTTTGAAACTTAAAAACCTATAGCATAAAAAATTTAGAGATATTTATAATAACAATAATAATAACTTAAGTAACAAAAGTCAGTGACTTTTTAAACAATAGAGTGAACACATAAACACATATACAGTGTATATATGAGAGAGGAATTAAAAATATGAAAAATAAACTCAGAAATTATTTTTCCCTCTATTTCTCAATGAAAATCAGATTATTATTGTTTTAATTGATTAATGAGTGGTTCGGCCGATCAGATAGCAGTTCCAGCGCTGATACCAGTCATTGTTAAAGACATTAAATTTGATATATATTCTGAATAATTGATTGTATTCTCTCTCTCTCTCTCTCTCTCTCTCTCTCTCTCTCATGGTTTATGTTCGGCTCTTAGTTTTTGAAGTGAAACAAAATATAAGTTTAGGTTAAAAACAAAATCACTCGAAGAATGTTCACAACAAAGTATAATAAGTAAGAAAAATAAGCCAAACGTTTAGTTTACTTGTGTTTTATATAATCCTTTGGTTTTTAATTTATGTCACAAATCATTGTAAAGGCTGAGAGACAAACCTGCAATACATTGAATATATTCACAACGACTTTCACTTTACTTAAAATCTATAACGATATTTGAATCACAAGTCTTTGTTTCTTTTGATAATTAGTTTTGGAATTTATTTTAGTTTTTACTGTCGTTTACCCTCAGGGATGAGAGTGAGTGAGTAAGTGGAGAGAGAGAGAGAGAGAGAGAGAATGAAATTAAAGTGATAGTAATGTGAATGAGGTTTTATAGCGTCATTTCGAGAGTGAAATGTCGTCCGTATGTATGCATGGATTGCAGGCGACTCTAACATTCAAATTTACGACCCATTGCTATGAAAAAATAGTTAAAAAAACGTAACCAAAAAATAATACTCACTGAGAATGAGTGAGTGGAGAGAGAGAGAGAGAGAGAGAATGAAATTAAAGTGATAGTAATGTGAATGAGGTTTTATAGCGTCATTTCGAGAGTGAAATGTCGTCCGTTTTGTGAATATATTCAATGTATTGCAGGTTTGTCTCTCAGCCTTTACAATGATTTGTGACATAAATTAAAAACCAAAGGATTATATAAAACACAAGTAAACTAAACGTTTGGCTTATTTTTCTTACTTCTTATTATACTTTGTTGTGAACATTCTTCGAGTGATTTTGTTTTTAACCTAAACTTATATTTTGTTTCACTTCAAAAACTAAGAGCCGAACATAAACCATGAGAGAGAGAGAGAGAGAGAGAGAGAGGCAGTCAATATATGCAGAATAGCTGAGAGCCACTAAACTGTCACTACATTTCAATGTCTGGTCGAACCAAAAAAGCCTATTCTGTGGCACAGGAATGGGACCCAATCGAGTGGAATGGAGTTTACATTTTCAGGTACTCTCCCATACATATATTTAGCATTTATTTATACATAACCACCAAAAAAGGACATTACATATAAACTATTGAAACAAAAAATCATCAAACTAAACAAGCTTAGAGAATAATAATAAAAGAATTAAGAAACTTTAAAAATTAATTTATATAATACGGTATTATAATACAAATAAGCAATACTTGAAATGCATTTTGTCGCCAATTTTTTAAGCAAAACTGTTTTAAACAACACTCCTGTATGTCATATTAATATCAATTTTGAAAAGGCAAACCCTATTTATTATTTTTGTTGTGTATGTTATCTAATCTTATGCTTTAAATTTAATGCTTGCGTTGATTCACTCGAAAATGCTATTCAAATGTCTATTTTGTTTGTCTCAACAAAACCATTGATGAGATGTTTGTCTTTATTCATATCGATTGGACGTTTTTGGGCTGCGAATGGCTTTCTCGAGGGGACCAGTAGTTTACGATTATAACAACTCTGTCTAACTCTTATCAGCAACATTTTTTGAGCGCTAATGTTATCCGCGACTAAAATGTTGACCACTGGGTCGCCATATCGCAGACATACTGATAATAAGTCGTTTAGAAATGGGCTGTTAATCAGTTAAAATAGTTTTGCGTCAATTGTTTTCAACAATAATGGCCATTACTTTTGGCAAACACATTGTAGACCACACTTATTGCCAACAGTTTTTTGTTTTATTTATTAGTATTATTGTCTTATATCTCTAAAATCATACGCTGTATATCCCCGCATCTCTCTCTTCTCTCTCTCTCTCTCTCTACATCCCTGAGCAGCTGAGCAGTGCAGACACGAAGTGAAATAAAATTATAATAAAATGAACACAAAATCCATTCATTGATTGAGAGACACATTAATGAGAGCTCTTTATGTGTCTGTATTTTAGTTATAAAAAGTGAGAATAGCGTCTATAGAGGAGTACTACTAGTGAGAGAGAGAGAGAGAGAGAGAGAGAGAGAGAGAGAGAGCTCAACAAAAAATCAACTCAAGAGCAGTGCATCAGTACGTGTTTGGAGACAATGAAAATTGTGTCACTCAGTCATCCAATTGAATGTCTCATTCAATACACTATTATATTTTTTGTTTGTTTTATAATATCAGAGAATATGTGATATAAAATGTATTATTCCGCAGACATTGAGTGAAAGTCCTATTGTGAGCTATGAATTGAATGCAATTATTTTTTGATTCAAAAATTATTTACTTTATATTTCCCATTGAATGCAACTTTGTTTTCAATTGATTTTATTAAATTGAAATTAAATTACTATTTCTTTACTATTCATCAATTTTGCACAAACTCTAGACATTGTAGCGTTTGGGCACCGAGTGGTTGAGCACCGATAGGATACAGACCAGTGAGTGAGTGAGAGATGTCTATCAAACAGGAAGAGAGAGGAAAGGGATTTGGCACCAGAATATTGTTGGTATGGATGTATGTGCGCCAGTATTCTCGGGAATTCATATGTATTTTTAGCGTAAAATTTTTTGGTGTTTTTCTATGAGAATGAATGCCTTAACAACTCTGCGATTAGTCTCTCGTAAATGACTTTTTGATGGACGCCAGAGTCATCCGAGTGACTGATTACTGACTCCGTGGGCACTGACAGTGGGATACGGTTGTGGTGGTCGTCAGTATCGGTGCGAAACATTTGCCTCTATTAATGCACCCAAACATATACTTAATCTGTTGGATATAAACATATATTTATACTGTTATATACATGTTGTAACTGA